TTAAGCGCCTGTGCGACAAACAGGTTTAGGCAGTTCAGCTGGGAATTTTGGGGCTAATCATCTCCATAGTCTATCTACTTAAGGGGGACTATACCTTGAGAATTGAAGAACAACTGGAAAAGCAAGGTGTCATTCGGCAACTATTTTGAGAGACTTCGATGAAGCTCTGTCATTAGACTTCAGGAGGTCCACGCAAAGGTTTTTGACCTGTTCACACAAGAGTGAATTGGGAGTGCCAGGTTCTAGGGTAATGTGTAGGGTTTAGGGCTTCAACAAAGGTTTTGGCTTGAGCCTGTTAGGTCAGGGGTTCATGTTCCGATATTCAGGACTGCCAACAAGGCAGGTACACAATTTTGCGCTTCGAGCAATGAAGCAGGGGACACCCAGGGGCCGTCAAAGGTCGGTGAACGGTAACCCTAAACCTCAAACCCGTAACCCTAAACCCTGGTCATCATGGCAGTCCTGGGATCGTGCGCGATTTTGATGTGATTACAATTACTTAGTGTTTTGGGGTGTCATTTTGAGTTTAAAGTCTGATGGGCTTGAGATTAAGGAAAATGAGACGTGAGACCCTAAGCAATTGTAATGTTTTTCTTGGTTTAGGCAATTGCGGGATCAAGCCAAGTTTGCAAGCCAATCTGTGAAGGGTGTCCTCGAGAAAGGTAGTGTGGGCCGCTGTAAAGAGAACTTAAGATCACGTTACCATAGCATGGGCATATAGTAGATGATGTGGTTTCCTTGGTATAGTAACTTTAATTGAATGTCCTTAACTGCAGCCCCGTTTTCCTCCCTTGGGTTTACTTGACACCTATATTGGGTCCGTGCAAATGCTTCTTTTTCGCTCTTTTGTAGCTCATCCAGGGAGTGATGTTGGCCCTGGACACTAGGGTTTAGGGTTTAGGGCTAGGGATTTGGGATTTGGGTCCCTAAACCCTAAACCGTTCAGGGCCTAGGGAGTTTCCAGGGAGGCATGACGCCCAAGGTGGTCCTTGGTGCAGGGAACGACGAGTCTGGCAGGCGGGCACGGCTTTTGGTTTAGATGCCCGAACTTTCAAACTAGCTCGTTTCAATAAACCGTATCGATAGTTGCCACCGATATGTTCCTAGGTTCCTTGCATAACTATGGTGCTGGCTACCTCGAATAGATCCTAAGATAATGTTTGTACCCGTTAGACCCTTGCAGCAGGGCTTAGTGACCCTAAACCCTAAACCCCCTAAACCCTAAACCCTAAACCGCGTCAGAAGTCCGAAAGGCAGAGCCTAGGCGCTTCAGTGAGGCAGCTGGTAGATGGGGATTAAGGGGTTCGGGTATATGGTTTAGGATTTAGGGTTTAGGCGGTTTGCGGCTTTGGGTTTAGGGAATCAGGACGGAGGGCAATTCGCAGAATCGCTGTTCCGAGTACTCCTCCCTTATGACCCCTCATGTTCAAACCCTTGCGGTAGTTTTTAACATGCGTTCGGCCACATATGAATGCATTTAGGCTGCTACAGTCGAGAGTCAAGGTCCACCAGCATGGCTTGGGCTTAGATACGCAGAGAGGCCAATTTTGAGAATTACCCAGATGGATCCGGATGGTAGCGTTTGTTGTCTTTTCCAGGTAGCTGCCTTGCAGGCTAACCAAAGCCTTTAGCCGCTTAGTCTGTTTTGGGCGAAACATCCCAATGTCATGAGGACATTGGGGTTTAGGGTTTAGTGGGAATCTAGAGAACTTCTTTAGGGAGCTCTAGAGCCTGAACATCTAGGGCGGACTTCAGTGCAGGCAGTCTCCTAGGCTTTTCTACAGCGATCTGCGGGCTGCACTCTGTCTGCGCAGGCCTTGGAGTAGGTTTCAGAAATGTTTGGGGTTGAGAGCTTCAGAATTATCATTAAGCCAGGCCAGTTGTGCTATGGTCTAAACTCCTTCCTTAAAGGGGGGTTATATAGGGGATTGCATAATACAGGATTTAGGGTTTAGGGTTAAGGGTCTAAGCTCCTTATTGGGCGTTCTAGAATGGATAATGTAGGGGACTACTATATAGGAGCTTATTGAGCGGGATGCTAGCAGTTTAGACTAGACTATAGCTCAAGTGGAAGGGTTCATGTTTTTGGCCTAGTCATGGACAGTTGATCAAACAAGTATCTGTGGATAAGACCTTGGTGCAGGACTGATCACGGACTTGTCTTGTGGGAGCCTATTCCAAGTCTAGGTGCAGGCTGTGCAACCAGCTCGTAAAGCGCTTCAGCCGTGCATTGCAGAGCTCAAAAGAAGCTGCGTGAACGTATCAATCCTGAGAATTAAGGACTGAATCCTTACAGCAGTCCCCATCTAAGCCCCAACAATACACTGCTCCCCATGTCTTGTTCCAATCCCTAAAACCTAAAAAACCTTAAGCCCTAACCCCTAAACCCTAAACCCTGTTCTTTTTCCACTCCCTACTTCCCCGCTAGCCGGAGGTCAGAAGTTCAAAGCTTTAAGGCATAGGTTAGGAGGACCCCCGCACCCTGTAATAGTGGTATAATAGGAATATAAGTGGACCCTAATATAATCCTTACTATTCCTTATAGTCACTGTTACGGGGTGAGGGGTCCACCTAAGGCATCGGAGTCCAACGCCCCAGGGCTTGGGATCTAAGGTTTGGGGTTTAGGATTTCGTGCTTGGGGTGTAGGATTTTGGGTTTGAGTGTAGGGTTTTTAGGGTTTGCAGGAAGTTCTCCAAACTGATCTGCTAGTTGGAGGAGCGATCTTGGAAAATATACCTTGCACACAGATGCTCCACATGTTCTGCAACAACTTCCCGATCAATCTTCACAATGAGCTCTTAGCCCTTCAGCCACCTCATCCTCAACAATACCCTCTAATCCCTAATCCTTGGCAGGCTCTGCGTTGGTGCACGCTGCAGGGCTGAGGGCAGCCGAGGATGTGCAGGCACTTTCAGATTGCTTGGGAGGCCCCTTACACGCTAAACCTTGGAAGCCAAACCCGAATTTCTGAACCCCAAACCCTAAACCCCAAAGCCTTAAACCCTAAGCCCTAAACCCTAAAACTATCGGGCTTGGGATGGAGTCATTCAGTTTGAAGTGTGTTGGAGCCTGGAGCTTAGGATTTCTGGAGATCAGGCTTAGCGCTTAGGATTCGGGGGCTTTTGAAGGAAGGATTTGGGGCTTTGGAGCCTTCTAGGATTTAGGATTCTGGTTGAAGCTAAGATTCAGGGTTTGGATATGAAGTTCAGGAAGCTGAAGGAGAACGTCGCTCCAGGATTCAATTGCAGAACCTCTGCTAATTACATCGCTGCTATGATGTACCCCTGCTTGAATTCTTCTTTGAGGCCCCTACATTAGGGTGATTGGCGAAGTTACGATTCCACACAACCCGCAACCTAAGCAACTTGAGTCGGACTCCATGACCCTTGTGTTGGTTTAGGCATCTCAGGGTTTAGGATTTGGGGTTTTGGGTAGAGGGGTTTAACATGAAATGTATTCAACAGGAGGGCCTGCTGATTTCCTGCGATTGAGCCCCTGCATAGAGAGCGGTGCTTACAGGTGATGCAATGGACATGCCCATCTGAGCCATAGTCTAAACTCCTGGTATCCCCCTTAATAATCCCTATCGTAGTGCACTATATAATCCCTTACATAACCCCCTTAAAGGAGTTTAAACCCCAAACCCTAAACCCTAATCCCTAAACCCTAAACCTTATGTAACCCCCTTTAAGGAGTTTAGACTACAGCTCATCTGGACCTAAACCCTAAGCCCTACATCAGCGGGAGCCAGTCTGCTAGCTGAACCCGGAGCCCTTCCCCCGGCTCACATCCAGATTGCCCAAGCCTCACCAAGTGGCTGGCTACCCCGACATCCCGACTATACTTGTTCTTACCATTGATGTTCGAATTATAAAGATTATTAGTATTGTTGTTAGTATCATAGTTATTACTGGATTTTTAGTATCAGTAGTGTTTTTCATCAAAGGCCGGCCTTTGATTTGTTGCAGCACTGGGGGCATGTAGTTCCACGGGCCACCCATGCAGTGCAAAACTGGGTTGCTGTTAAGGGACGTGAACTAAGTTACTATATTGGGGAAGCCGTACTATTTACTAGATAGACCCATTATCGTAAGTTAGTTTAAGTTCCTTAACAGCATCCCAGAAAAGCACACGCTGGCAGGAACGTGTCTTCAGATTGGCAGCAGACTTCGTAGGCCGCTTGCACAGTTGCAGTTGTTCTTACGTAAACCTGCCCTCCTAACCCAAAGGGTCCAAGTGCCCAATACTTAGGCACTGGGGTTGGATAATAGTACTTATAGTACAGGTTTTGGTTGAATATGTGATTATTAGGGACTTGGACCCTTGGGGTAACCACGCATATTTCATATGTCAACTTCTTGTGCTGTTGGGGGATTTTGAGGAGAGCGGATTCAACTACTTGACCCTAAACCTTAAACCCTGAACCCTCAACCCTATACTCGATGCAGCGTTCAAGGTAGGCTGTGATTCATATGGGTGGCTGGAGGAAATCTTGCAAAACCCTATATGGTAGTTTTGGAAGCAAACATCTTTCAAGTCCATAGCGAGTTCTTTTGCATCAAAGGGGTGGCCAAGCTCATTCTGAGCTTGGTTTGGGAGCTTCTAAAAGGGGGTGTGCTTTCGAGTTTATGGGTTTAATTAGGCCACACCAAGGATCTTAAAATGATATTGTGAGGAGGGAAGGCATCAGGGCTACCCGTAGCCATTTAGACAAAGCCAAGGATTTCTGAAGCGTCGTTCCCCCCACAGGCCTGCGAGAGTTGCCATGGCTCGTGCGCTGAAACTCGGAGGAATGCTAGGCTTCTTGGCCTCTGCTGACCTCCCGGGCTGCGAGATCTTTTCAAACAACCAGTGCCAGGGCGACACGATTGTCACGGACCCCAGTTTTGAGGCGAACCGATGGTTTACCCCACTTAGAGGGGACAGTGACTACCAGGACTCGTTCCAGGACTATGGTAAGCTTGTTGGTCACACGCATGTCAGCTACAGCGATGCCACGATGACTGCAGCCACCGTGGAAATCAAAGCTCAGCACCAAGATCCTTCAGCCACCTTCACCTACATTGTGGGTGGTAAGGAGCAGACAACAAACAAGATCTCAGTAGGTTCAGAGGTCAAGGGGCCTCTCACAGTCTCCATCAAGGCCTCTGACGGCTCGAAGATTGATCTCGAGGACCTGGATTTCCGTTGGAACGTAGAGCCCCTGCTGCAGAGGGAGGGCGATAACCAAAACGGACAGAAGGGTGCCATCGTCGAGCTTTTTGGCTGGCCCCATGCAGATATCGAGCAGGAATGCGAAGCACTTGGTAAGATGGGATATCTTGGTGTGAAGATCTATCCCGCGCAGGAGCAGGTCATGTCCACCGAGCCCTTCAACAACGTCATGAACCCCTGGTACTTCATGTACCAACCAGTGTCGTATCGGCTTCAGGGTCGCATGGGAACACGGGATGATCTTCGAAGAATGATCAGCGCATGCAGGAAGAACGGTGTTCGAGTTTACGCCGATGCCGTCATCAACCACATGTCTGGCGGCGGGAATGATGCAAACCCAAAGCATCGCAATCCTCAGGCAAATTGCCAGACCTTTGGCAATAAGACGTCTTCGTTGCCAGGGGGACACTCCCCGTACTACACACAGAACTATGCGTACACTACAGGCGAGCACACTGGAAAAGCCCCTCTCCAGGAATTTCCAGCAGTCCCTTACGGTCCCCAAGACTTCCACTGCGAACGGGTCCTGAATGCCTGGAGCGATCCGCTGGACCTCAACGCAGGATGGCTCACGGGCCTCACGGACCTCAACACGGAAAGGGAGAATGTCCAAGAGCGCATCGCAGACTACATGACGGACAGCTTCGTAGCAATTACTATTATTACTTGTATTTTAGTTGCTATTTATTGTTATTCATTACTATTTCTACTATTACTATTACTATTAATTACTGCTAAGTACTATTCTTATTATAAGAATGTTACTATTATTACTGTTATTACCATTATTACTATGAGGACCTGATCTCCATTGGCATCTCTGGCTTCCGCATCGACGCCGCAAAGCATATCAAGCCTGATGCTGGGTTGCTGTTAATGAACTTAAATTCGGGTCCTATAAAAAGGTTCAGGGTTTAGGCGTCTACAGGGTTTAGGTTTTAGGGTATAAAGGGCTTAGTAGGGTTCAGGGTATAGAGGGTGTAGGGTTACTACTTTACGGAAGTCGTATTTTGTATTATATGCCCCAAGAATAGGGTAAACCCTGAACCCCAAGCCACTTAAAAACAACTGAGGATGACCTGGTGCAGATCATCTTGAAGTTCCGCGAGAATGTAGGGGGAAAGATGCCAGAGGATTGGTTCAGCTGGTTGGAAATCCTCCTTGGTGGAGAGGCTACAACCATCCCCAAAAATACGAAGTATGTCTATACTCTAGGGCTCTTTCAGATTACAGTATTTAGGACCCAACCCCTAAACCCTAAAACTAGTAGTGTACAACCCCCTAGTAGGTTTAGCGTTTGGGGTAAACCCAAATTCCTAGACCCTAATCCCTAAACCCTAAGCCAGGTTTAGGCTTTTGTTTAGCGCTTAGTACTTGGACACGGAGGCTGACCTGCTGATGTGCAACACGGCCTCCGGCTACAACTATGGTGAGTATCTTTCTGGTGGTTAGTAGGCAATGAGGGAATATAGCATCCCTATATAACCCTATTGAATAAGTCCCTGTATCATACCTACATAATCTCTGTATAACCAATCTCCATGGAATATGTTCCCTGTATACTCCCTATAGAATCCCCATAACAGAATACATACTCCTCATACAACTCCCATCTAGTATTATTCCCTACATCGTCCCTATACAATCCCCATGTAATGCATTCCTTTCATAGTCCTCATATAACATATTTTAGGAGGACCCCCCACCCTGTAATAGTGGTATAATAAGAATATAAGAGGACGCTAATATAATCCCTATTATCCCTTATAGTCACTATTACTGGGTGGGGGGTCCACCTACAATATATTCCCTTACTCCCTACGATTCACCAGTAAGGTATTTGTCCTCCGCACTGCTGAAAGCCGGCTTATCCCAGCCAGAGGTGGATGCAGTGACTAGGCAGCCCAGTGTTACCCTTCTTGGGTGCTAGGTTCCCTTTTGTACGGTAGTTTCCCTAAATAGGGCGACCCCCACATAGACCCCAATATACTGTAGTCCTTATTATTGGGACCCCCCAAAATGGTACCCCTAATTTTGGGAAACTTTCATACAAGGTTTGGGGTTTAGGGGCTTTATTGCTTCAACGTTTAGGGTTTTGGGGTTAAGTTTTTGAGGTTTGGGTTCTGGCTTCCCTTACATGATTCATCATCCGCAAAAGAAGTACCCTTATTGTAACATGGTTATCGGGCTACCCCCGGAGGGTAAGATGGGGCTTATAGCCCGTATAATCCATATCATCATAACCCGAGTTATCCCCATTGATATTAACCTGATTGCTGAGTCTTCCTGACCTTAAAACCTACACCCTAACCCTAAACCTTACATCATTGGTTATTGGGCTATTGAGGTGAAGACCTGGAACTCGGGCTTTCCAAAGGAGCCCGAGAAGGGGGTGGATAACTGCGACATCGGCAAGACGGGGCTCCAGCGCCAGGTGCGGGTGTGTGAGAGTTTAGGGTGTAGGGTTTAGGGTTTAGGTTCAGGGTTTAGGGACTAGGGTTTAGCGTTTGCGGTTTCAGGTTGGGATTATAAGATAGGGGTCCGCCTAGAAATTCTGTCAGGCTTCTTTTTGGAAGCTCGCAGGTCATTCAGAATGATGATGCCGACCAGCAGAATCCTGGTAGCAGCTCGCGAGACATGGGTGACGCTGGCTGTGTCCCTTACCTGTCCAGTCAGGAAGCTTAGTAATGTAGACCCATGATTAACAATTTAATCCCCCTCCTTTTAAGGGCCTGAATATTAGAATCCCCATTATAATCCCTATCAAGGGGAGGGGGTCTGGGTTAGCTTTCGAAACTCAATATCGATTGAAAGACTCACTACTCTTGAAAAGCCCAAAGCCGTAAACCCTAAACGCCGCAAACCCCTAAACCCTAAACC